ACCACAATTATTAACAACCCTCTACCCTTTTTAATGGTCTTGTTGTCCCACCATTCCTACCCCACTGTCCTTTATTCTTCAGCTGTGCTGTCTGTTAGCCATTCCTGGTAATGTCTCTCTTCTATTTCACAGCCCTGTAGTTTGTTTCTAGCTCTAGCTAAAAACCTTAACTCAGGTGTAGAACTGATTGACAGTGAAGCTGGAGGGACTGTCAAGATGTTCAAGAAGGCTAGATGTAGTCCTGTGAAACTGAATAATAGAAGTATATTTAACTATAATGACTACAGGACTGATGGAACAATATCTTTTGACTATTTTTTTCCAGCTTGTTGTGCTTTTTAAAGCTGTATATATAATCTCGGAAATCAGTGCACAGTCCAGTAGTTATGTTTTTGCTTTGATCTTAAATTGAATACTATACTGGCCACCTGGTGTGTTAGTAAAGCTTGTATTTTTCTTTAACTGGAGAAAAAGATGCATTACATTATATGTGATGATGTGCCACACCATCTGCACCCGACTTCTCAATATATAGCCATGACCACAGGTTTCATCCTGGAGCAATAGACTGTCTTTTAGACATACTGGGAGTGTCCAGATAAATGCACACATGCAAGGTGTGCATTTCCCATTGCACAAATAGCAGTGGCACATGTTTGTGCCCCTGCTTGTCCCAGGGTATGCCCGTGCACGGATACTGTGGCATGTAGCAAATTGACCTGGATGGGGTGGGAGAGGCTGGGGCCAGCAACTGTGCTGGCCCCAACAGCCTTACCTGGGGCCCTGGGGGCCTCCCAAGGCAGCAGCAGCACCAATCTGGCCACTCAGTCAGAGCCCAGCCAGCATCAGAGTGTGGCTGTGGCTGGTCAGGCTCCATTTCTGGCACTACACGCATCTGCTGCATGCACCGCACTTATTTTAGTCGAGTTTTTTTGTTTTTTTGTTTTTGTTTTGTTTCTATACCAGGAATCTCCTGGTGACAAATTTGGGTGCCGTGCTGCTAATTAGCAGTGCAGCAAATGGGTGTGCATGCACTGTGCGCAGTTTACAGTGCCTCAAACAGTTTTGAGGCATTGCAGACCACGCATGCACACCCACTGAATGCAAACCATGACACACGTCTAAGATGGTCTGAGACCTTGAGCTAGATCTGAGATTCACTGGGAAATCAGTGTAGAAATAGCATGACATTTTAAATAAACATTTTTCATTTTGTTGCAAAACATTGATTCAAAACTATTTTCTTTGTTTTGAATTTTTTTGTGAAGAAACAAAAGTTTTTTGGAAGTGACATTTTCTGGCAAAATTTTCAGTTTCAGAAACATTGAATTTTCATGGGAAAATTTCCTGCATAAAATTTATGACATGCTCTAATTATTAGTGTGTAAGAAGATTCCATTTCACTAACATTCTTTCTTAAACCACACTCTCACATTTTTATTGAATTCTTTGCCAAATTGTTTATTAACAGACAGAAGAAAAGTCAATGAAGGACCAGTTGGTAAGAGTTATTCAGCAGCAGCTTCCTTCATTTATCCTGCTATCATACTGCTGGAAAGCTTTGCTCTTATTCCAGCTTGACCTGAGGATTCCGGGTAAAATCATTCACTTTAATTAGACCATCTGGTCCAATGCTGTGTGAAGAATGAAATACAGATTTGTTAGCTGAAGTCACTGAGTCCTGTGTTTTGATCATGAGCATACAGAACAAACTTCCCCAGTGTCACTGACTTCCTGCTCTCTAAACCTTTGACACGTTTTTCTCTAAACCAGTGGTGCTCTGCCTCTGATGCCATGTGGGTCTCCCTACAGATCTGGAAATTTGGTGGCGAGGGAGTGAGGGCAGCATTAATTGCTGTTCCCTGCTGGTAAATTTCCTGACTTGTGGGGAGTCCTGGGGCCAAAAGATTGAGCACCACTGCTCTAAACTGTATTAATTGGACCTGCACCAGTTCCCACTGAAACCAGTGAAATGCTTGCTTTGATGGTAGTAGGAGATGTATCGAGCACTTTGTCTCTTTCCTCCACTCCAAATTATGCCTCTTCATGACATTCCCTGTAGTTAGAACAAGCATTTTATTCATTTACACCATGATGCTTTCCTTCTTTACATAAAAATACAGACATTACCCTTCTATAGCATTATTATAAGCATCATTCAATGCTTTGGGCACATTTATTTGCTCTTCTACTGCTTTGTATTGTACATTTGTGCCTTTAGTGGCAAATCCGTAGCCTCTGTAAATTGTTATCCCTTTTGGAAATCAATGACACTAATGGCAATTTATGCCAGCTAGGGGTATGTCTCTTAAAATGTAAGTTCTATAGGGTAAGGGCTTGTTTCTTGTTCAACACAGTAGGGTATACAGTTGTGCTATACACATACTAAATAGTAATAATAATTGTTTAAAGTTGAAGTGAGAGAGGCCTGTGTTTTCATCAGGAATGTAAAATTCTGGGGTTGGGACACTGACTTTGTCAGCTGCAAAGAATCTAGTACACCTTTGGTGCTATTGAACAAAACAACACTCTTTTTCTTTCTCCTGTCTTTTCATTCCCTCATTATGAATATCCTTTGTTGCTTTCTCCAAATTACCTTGGATGCCCTTGCTTTAGCA